TTACTAGTAACAGCCGAGGTAATTGTTATCCATTACCAGAACCCAGACTTATGTGTTCAAAACGGCTGGTCCAGACTCTATGGTTACCCTGGCCCGATATCACAATGACCCATGTTGAGAAATACGCCGTTGACAAATCATCGGCCACTTCTGAAGCGACCATTTGGCATTTTTATCAAGATAACTTTGAACTTTGCCATTATTTGATGTTTTACGTTAATCTTATTTTTAGCAGTTATGGTGTTTTAGCCTGACGAGAGCCACCGAAAACAAGCTTGTTCGATAACTTGTGTTACTGATGTTGAAAGTCTGAGAAACTACTTGTACCTCGGATCTTCATGTGCACCCAAGCAGAGGATGTATACCAGTTTGCCTACAAATCCAACCGCTCTACACTGGAGGCTGCAACGTGCTTTGTACATCCGGCATCATCAGCATTGGGTGAAAAATCCAGAGAAGTGCACCTGCTGTTTCTCGATTATTCAGATACTTTTGGAAGCGTTAACGTATCAACCCTACTCAATCAGCTGCTCACGAGTGTGGCGAATATAAATGTTCGCAGTGTGATCACATACTACCTTACAAACCGTATCAAATTCACGCAGCTTACCGGAACAAAATCCTCCACAATTTGATCCGATCGTGGTGTTTTACCAGGAGCGATTCTCTCTCACCTACTATTTTCTTTATATATCGGAGACCTCCCTATGCTGTCCAACTTTATTGGATGCAAGTATGCAGATGATGTCATTATAGGATCTATATATCCAACCGTTGAGACATCTGCACTTCAGAGGGGTCTGGATGAGTTTGTGCTGTGGTCAACGACCCGGGCTCTCATTCAAACATAGTTAAATGCTGTGATGCAACATTCTCTTTTCTTCGGGCTGATAAGCTGCAAGCAATTCCAAATGCCACTTTCTCATGGCCAGTGAGTGACCAACTCATACCCAGGACATTGACTGTCAAATATCACGGAGTTATTATATCCCAGAAACCATCTTGGTCTACCCATGTCGCTGAAACATTTGACAAGTTTAGAAGGCTATCTTTTAATGCCCTCAGACTTACAATGCTTTCCGTACCCGGTGATTTGATATTTAAATTTGAGACTGCATGCTTACTGCCTCACTGGCGTTACTGTTTCCCAGTAAATGTTTCTGGGCTACTAACAGCGATTACATATTGTTCTTGTGTTTGTTAAAACTTATTTATTGATACGGTGCTGTCTAAAATGACAGGCATTTATTTTTTGTCAGCAGATGTAGCCGCTTGTACTAGCTTTTCCTTTAAAGTTCCAAACGACCCTTTACATCCACTGCATGGAGCTTTGTCGAAAGTGCTATCTGTTTCTTCCATGCACTCTAAATTCAGTCTTATTTTCTCGTACGGCTTCTCACCACTCAAGGAAGCTCATCAGCGTGATGCGCAGTTGTTTGCTTGATTGATACGCAAACATTTTGCATTACACAATTTATTTGTTTCTATCCATTAAATCTCATTATTTCTCCATTCGCAGTGATAGTGTAAAAAGCTGAAAATGTATCTACGCAGGCGCATAAAGCCCATTTTGGCATGACTTTGACTAACACCAGATCTCCTTTTGCCCGTTTCCGTATCGGACGGAATAACTTCTGATGGCTACCAAGGGCAGCGGCCATTAGCATCTCCCATGCACGATGAGACCATCAAACCTTGTGATCTCTCTTCAGGCTAGCACACAGTTTATCCCTGAGGTCGTTGAGAGTCTCATTATGTTCGCTCCCAGCCGGAATGTGTTGGCGAGCATCCAAAAGTCCCAGAGACTACATAAAGACCAAATGTCCAGGTTGGCAATTTGATTTGCCACATAAAGACATGTCTGATGGATATGCGACCAGTGACCCTCTACTGTGTTCAGAAAGAACTTACTCAGCCCGGATGTCAGTGTACTTTGATACGCATTCGGGACATCTGGTTTCGCCAGTTGGCATATATCTATGCGCTCACAACGACGCCGCCTGCGCCCACTGAAGCGAATTGTAAGATCAGCACAAACCCGTACGTGGTCAGAATGCACGCTAGTGGTTCAAATTGAGAGACACTTTTGAACAAAGTCTCTCCAGCGGTAACTGATCGCGATGTGGTCGATTTGCATCCGTGGCTGGTGGGCGCCATGTCACCCTACGGCGGGTGCTGGGGCTAAAGCTAGTGCTTGCGAGTAACAGACGAGCATCTTAATACAGGTGTAGTAACCGTGCACTGTTATGATTCCGGGAAACCTCACCGTCGGCTGCCCAAATGCAGCTCACCAGTGGACGGTTTCCCAACTTGGGCATTAAGAACACTTGCCAGCATCACAGTATCCGTACTTTCAGGTGACGAAGTAGCTCGTTCAGTTGATGATAGAATTTAGTTTTCACCGAGTCAGCGCTACAGTTTGTGGGAGTGTAGGTCGCAATGACAAACCGGCATCGTCTTTCTGCGCGCGACTCCGAAGCTTTGAACGAGCCAGCCAATCTGAGGGCGCACATCCAGCTGTTGGTTTGGATTCAGTCAACCAGGGCAGCTTCAACCCGGGGACTCAGAGCAATACCCACACCGGTTTGATCAGTATTTGAAGCTGCGTTATCTCCAGACAAACGCAATGAGAAAGTGCAGTCAGTGACGCTTTTGGGGGATGGCAAGGTAATCACAGAACTCGAAGCTTGCATGCGAGTTTCCGATAGGCAGCAGAAATCGATCGATAAGGTCCTTAGTGTTCGGACAAGTGCTGCCTGTTGGCCAATCTGTAATAAATTGTGCACGTTGAGGCATGCCAGTCGTAGCGAGGATCGGGGGCTCCTAAGAGAAACGAATGAACTGACGTTGTCCGCTTGGTTGGATATGGATTTGTTGACTGGATAAGAGCAACGACCCGCGATTGCGTGTGAGTTGAAACTAGAAGATAGACGACTATTGAAGCAAGATGGGGGAGGGCCAAGAATTAGGGAGGGGGTGAAGTTGGAGAGGGGCGATCGGGATGCAAATGTGCAAAAAGGAATATGAAGACGAGAAGTTATGAGCAGTGCCATTCTTAGCCCTATCCACCCTGGTAGATGGAGCTGATGGGGCGCCGTTAATTATTCTCTGCGACAGCCAGAGCATGAACAGATTGTATGAAGAGGTTTTCGTTGTCTTGCGTGGGCAGGATACTGTGGGGTTGCCCAGGCCTAGCCAGGAGAACGATTAGAGTTCGCAACCAAAGCCTTTGGTTCAAAACCTGAACGCAAGGCAGCGGGCTTCAGCACTGCGCTACAGAAAGTTCGTATTATAGAATGAGGAGCTGCCCTGAATCCAACCCACAACCTGAGTAGAGGTCATCGAAATCCGAGAAAACAATAGTAGTTTTTTTCAAAAGAGAAACAAGGTGAATGAGTTATGAACTAGTGTTGACTGCAGGTTTTGGTTGGCTATGATAAATGGTCATTCAGGAACATGGTCTTCCAGGTGAAAGACAATGTAAAGCACATTGGGAATAAGGCACCTGCTACAGGAAAAAATGTGGACGGATTCCACTTGTGTTGTTATCCATACAGTGCGGCTGCATACGCAACCGCGTCTGCCGCAGTCGGTTCTGCGTTGCAAGCCATCAAAGTGACTACGAAGATCTAGTGCCGAAAATAAGACGTTTGTATTAAATGACTGGAGGAACTAATGAATGATGCCTCTAATTGCATTTGCCAGTTCATGGGGATATTGCAAACGAGGTAGCATGCAATGAATCGTCGCGGCAGTTGGGCAATACCTACGCAAGAAAATCTGTCGTCGCGTGCCTAGCGTTCAGTCCCTCCACACACATATTATACACGTTAGTTAAAGGTGGGAAACACCTCAGCTACTGTGCCGCAATACCTAAAAAAAGAATAAAATGCAACAGCTGCAAGCCAGCTGAGCTACCGGTAACGGATGGGCATCGTTCCGGTAAGTTATCTGCCGGCTACTATGCAGCAGAAAAAATAATTTACTATGCAAAATTATAAAATGTTAAATAATGAGATCGTGGTTGGAGGGGAGGCTAGGAGGGATGGGGTGGGACAAAGAAACTCACAGCACGAACGCCAATGAGGTCGGCTCCTAGCCATATCAACAAGTGTATCCAGCCAAACGTGTTCATGGTCTTTTGGATCCCAACCAGGGAGCCGAGACGCTCCAACTGAGGCCAGTCCAGCCCCACACAGATGATGTGAATGCCGAAAGTGTCCATTCGCCCGACGTCACACGTCGAGCGTTTGCTCCATGAAAGTTGTAACTATTGAGATGGGGTGCGCAGTCCCCGTAGCACCGTTGCCTCATGGTCCGCTTCCAAAAAGAAAAGTGCAGTGGTTTACTCACGGCCATAGGTAAGCGCGGTTTGCATGGTATCCGAAATGGTACATCAGCGATATGTTCATTTAAGGGATGCGTGCTGTTCATACATGTACTGTTTAGCAACTCGCTGAGCTACGAAGCTGTGGCTGGTGCATCGCTGACCAACCATCGCTTTTTCTTAGGAGCACATGATGTTCGCACAGAGACAGGTAAACCCATAAATAGATGTTGCTAACTGCTAATCTCATCCACCTGGAGCCCTCCAACAGAAAAACAAGCAACCGACAACTTAATGGCGTATTCGTTCATGGAGCGAGTGAACATCGGATGGAGTGATTCCGAGTGCAGGTGAGTGACCAGTAAAATGCAGAGACTAGTGGTTATGAGTTAAATGTATAAAAATGAGTTGTCTTGAGAAGTGTAAGAAAAAATGACTAGGTATGTTTGGGACACCCGAGGTAAGAGAACTGATGCATAATGTACATGAATGGAGAGTGCCGAAGCAGTTGAGTGTACAGCTGAGGTTAAAAGTCAGAAGCTTATAACAGCCACGGAGTTAAAAAAAATAACACAAAAGTAGACGAGCTATAACCATGTGGGGAAATAAATCAACAGAGGTGGTAAGCATGCGAGGCAGAATTAGACATTCACAAAATTCGGAGAGAACTTACGGATTCATAAGCACATGTGGATGTGCGAATGAAGAAAGTCTTCTTTAACTGAAAAGAATGAACCCACATTGATACTACACTGTCAAGCACCGCAACATGAACTGAGGCTTATGGAAAGCAGATAAAGGTTTAATTCGTCAATCTAGGAACACGACCGGTCCCTGATCACAAAGCAACTAGTGTCGAAAGAATGGCTATAGCATATCCACGTGAATATTACTCAATCACTCCGCAACTGCGGAGTGCAGTGGTCAAGTATAACTGGTACTCTAACCAAGCAAAACAGCAAACGCATAAGCGTTTACAAACTAAAGAGCACTATCGCACCAGGTTCCAAGCATAACACAAATATCGCTTGCGAAACTGGTTTCATGTACAGAAGTCGCAGGCTCGAGGACTGTGTGGAGGGGCAAGGAATACGTGTGTGAGGTACCCGGTGAGGAGTTAACTAAATCGACAGGTTAGACACTTTGAAGAGAAAAGTATCAAAAAATAGGCAGTTAGGACAAATTAGCCTCAGGCTTAGAACGCTCACTGCACATTCAAACCGAAAAATGCAGTCTCAATCTGCGGTTCGAAGTAGGAGTGAACGTCGCATCCGAAACATCATCCGAGTAAGCACAGGTGATCAAGTCTGATCAACACACATCAATGCAGTGAATTAAACTGTTATGACCCAAGCAATCGCAATAGTGAAATCAGCAAGATGACCAAATAAAAGAAAAAATGAAATGGATGGACAATAAAAGCACAAAGGGTGTATAGGCCACGATGGCTTTACGGTTAAAAGTTAAGCAAGTTGCAAATGATTATTGTGTCGGAATAACGGTTTTCCGATCGCAAGAAAACAATGGACATCTCGAAAGGGAGGGATCTGGATTCATTACAACCGATATAGAAATTGTCGGCTGGTGTGGTAGTGCGGGTCACACAAAAAATAACACGTAAGATATTCGAGCCTCGGATAAAGCATTTTTAGTTATCTTCCATGACAGCGCAATAGAAGAGCAGACACACAGTGTCATTAGCAGCAAGAAGTGGACCGCGAGCAAGAATGGGTGCGCCGTCTACGTGGGTGGTGTCTCGGGATGGTTTATACTAGAGGTTAGAGACTCTATCCGATAAGGCGCTGTCAGGAATTCCTACATTCGGTTTCGTGCATTTAGCCGTTAACTTTCAATCTATCCCTATTAGCTTAACGTACTTTTTCTTGATTTTATTCTCTGTACCTTATTTGTCTGCAACCTCATTCCCTTACCGTGGTTGTTTATGGTTATTCTGGCGACGCGGATTATGCCACTTGGATTGACCGCACTTCAGTGCCTGGATGTAGTGGTTTAATTGAAGTGAAACTTGACAGTTCAGTTCCGAACAGAACGTCCAAGACGGATAAGGCTCCATCCATGAAAGCAAGATTACCAATAAGCTTGGGACGGTAAGCACAGCGATCAGCTCTCTAAGGTTAGGGAGTTGGCAGCTCAGTCAGGTCAAAGTATGATATAAATGGGTAGGGACGTTCTAATGCCCACAGCGCTTGAGGACAATCACATCCCAGCGAATAAAATAATCGGAGGAGAGAAGTCCACAAGAACACAAATCCCGCCTTCCTTCGTAGAGGGCAACAACTGAGGGGAGCTGATATAGCGCGTGAGAAATGGTGGTTTACTAAAAGAGTTCTAACGGGTCGGCCATTCGTGTGACATTGCACATGTCAGTAAAAGATGATGAAGAATCCAAACAGCGCGCCACAATAAAACAAAATTAAATGGTTAAAATAAGGAAAAAAACAAATGGTCTTACACGTCGACCGACGTGTGGAATGTACTAACGTGAAAATGGTAATGGCGTAATTCGAAATCTTTAAGGCCTTAATTGATTCCGCTGTGGTTCAACATGACTCGGAAATGGTGTAGACCGAAAGTCAGCACTTTGATGTTCTGTTGTCATGTGGTAGGTTGATTACCGTGCGATTCATTTCAGTGCGACCCTAAACGACCGAATAGAGCACGCCGTGGTAAACGTTCGCATGGCATGTGTAGGACATGACCCAACCATCTCGGTTGGCGCAGCGGTATTAGCTCATCGAGAGAGAGACAGGTATTGCCTAAGACGCGACATCTAAAATTGTCGTTGCAAAAGTGGTGTTCCCACCACACCACTCAGCAAACAACCGTTGTCAAAGCCCGAACGCCCAGGCAAGTCATTTACATGGATCGGCCAGTATTCGTTTCCGTGCAATAGTACTGCGCCAACACAGGCATTGTACACCCTGCAATTTACCGAGAGTAAAAGGTCACGACGACGTCACTGATGGACCAGATCAGAAAAAGCGTATAAGATTTTTTGCCATGAGGATATAAACCACGCTTCCAAGGGTTATAACAAAAATGGGTTCAGCAGTACATCGGCACGCAGTCCCGACGCTTCGCTGCTGCGCAACCACCGCCAGTAGCACATGGGCTAAGGATAGCGCGAGGGTCGCCAGGTCTCTACACAGACTCGAACCTGCGTCCTGGCATTACGAGGCAGGCTTTTGGTTCTTAAGGCCACGGTGCCATCATCAGAAACGGAGCTCCCAAGGTAGATGAAATAATTCCCATTTTCAAGCTTTGCGCCATAAAGAACCAGCACTAGCGTAGGTGGATACCAATCCTAGAGGTTTTTCATTTCGATGGGGCGAAGACCATACCATACCCAGTAGGTTTGATCATCAAGCGATCCAGTATGACCTGCATAAGCTGCGGATCATCAACGAGAAAGGCAAGACCATCAGCATAGTCCAAGTAAGTCACGCCGTTGGCTGGAAGAATCTCTACGCCAAAACCCTGGAGACCATCCAGAGTTCTTAATAGGACATCTTCAATCGCAAAGTTAAAGAGAAACGGGGCTATGAGGCATTCCAGTCGCACACTGATAGTGACGGCGAACGGTGAAGAGGGCATGCCGTAAGACCTCACTCTGCCAGACATTGTTGTATATACCTCGAAGGATGGTGGCATACGTTTCGGATACTGCATTCCTTCACAGACAAAAAAGAAAGCGGGCCAATCGACCGAGTCGAATGGAAATCGGATGCCTAAAAGGGCGACAATGATAGATTGGCGATAAAGGTAGCGCTGCTCGAGGAGTTAGCGGAGCATAAAAATGTGGTGCTCACACCGCTGACGGGGGGATGGGAGAGTAGTTCTTGAATCAATGTTAGTCTGCGGAGTAAAACCAATATTAGCAACTTGGAGGCCACGGAGACTAGGCTGATTCCTTTGCTTAAAGCATAAAATATGGACACCCTTTTCGAAGATCGGTACGATAATCGAATCTCCATAAAAGAATGGCCCTTTTTCCACACCAAAACTTAGAGAACAGAGTTGCTAACCGGTTGAAAATTGCCAAGCTGCCGTAACTGAATAGCTTTAGAAGAAGTCCGTCTGACCCAGCAGCCTTGAATCGTGACGAAGCTCAACGCAAACCTCCACTTCAGTGACTGATTACATTATATATATATATATATATATATATATATATATATATATATATATATATATATATATATATATATGGTGACGGTATGTTGTTAACACAAAGTGTAGGCGCCTTGACCCTGAATGTTTGCTTAGGGCATTAAGGTTTTCAGGTAAGTCCCCCTTCTCTCCCTCTTATTCTTTATTTCATAGGTCCTCATGGTTGTATGGCAGCGAAGCATCAGTTCAAATGGCTGATGTACTGCTGTTGATGGTGATGATGATGATGATGATATATATGGCAGGAGAGCCTGTGGTGCGGTGAGGCTGGTGGTGGCTAGATCCTGACAGATGGTCTACCCACTGCTGCTACTGTTGTGCCATGGGCTCATGTCCTGGACGACTCCTCGTGGCGACCGCTGGGTGGGAGTTGGATTACCCCCTTCTCCCTGCTAAGATCCAGGACACCAATCCGCATGAGTCAGTGAAAGGACCATGTGCTACACCCGTTGCCTTTCGGGTGTACATTTAATCGAAGGCTTTGGTTGAGGACCCGAGTCGTTCTCCTGTCAGTTGTGGGCACTCTGCCAGTATTCTAGTCCATCCTCTTCGGAGGTCAGGCAGTGGCCGATGGCTCTCTTCCCGTAAAACTTATCCATGGTAGACAACAGGTCTATGGGTTATAAGCTCACAGCTCGATTGGCGTATAGCACGAGCGCCACGCATTGTCTCCGACGGTGTGAGGGCACCTCCGGGTGCTCAATGGTTTGCTACTACCCGCCAGGCAGCCCCTGGTCAAACTGGTACAGACCCGACAAAAACCTAGTGCGAACAACGAAATGAGAAGACGAATATTGGCAGATGCTAGCATTTCGTATTATCTCATCAGTACCAATACAGTAACAGGGAAATCCTTTTATATGTCTTACAGGGCACAGTCAAGCCAATCAAATTTATGGTTGGGGTCATTGTTGATGGGATTAGGTCCACGGCAACTGCAGGTTGACAACGAATTGTTTTTGGACACACAAAGCTGGTCTAATTCGGCTTATCGCGACGGCCTCGGCAAATTGTAAAAGGCGTGCATTGGTATGACGTAACAAGATCCGGAACGCTGATAAGGGATTAACCCGGTGACGAGTCGCCAAGATGTGCCTGCCTATGGAGGACGCTGGCGGCTTACGTGAGCACGTATCATCGGAGGTGGATTGAGTAACTTCGCGCTGAACCCAGTTTGGTAAGTGTTCCTTCACTCTGGAATCTAAAACCCGTTCGGTCCTGCCGATGTAACTGATACCGCAGTCACACACGAATTGGTAGACACAATGTGATTTGGCGCCGACGGGTTCATCTTCCATTAATGAAGGTAACGGCATCTTTCGGGTTCTGTTGATTATCACCGCCTCCGCAGCACAGTATGTACGCTGAATGGCCGAGACAATGCGTTTGGTTATCCTTCTCGCTGCGGTGTCACCCTTGAATGGTAGCTCAATGTACACCTTCTTCTTAGGGGCTGTCAACACCATCTCCTTGGGCGGTCTAACTTGGCT